AAAAAAAACTAGTCAGAAATGAAGAACACAATAACTGATATGAACAATGCACTAGAAGGAATTGTCAGCAGATTAGATGAAGCAGAGGATCAAATCAGTGATATGAAAGACAAGGTATCAGAAAACACTCAATTCAAACAACAACGACAAAAAGATAGCATAAGGGACCTCTGGGACATCCAGTGTAACAACATTCACATCATAGGGGTACCAGAAGGAGAAGAAAGAGGAAGCAATCAAGAACCTATTTGAAGAAATAATGACAGAAAATTTCCTAACCTGGTGAATGAAATAAACTTATAAGTCCAGGAAGTGCAGAGAGTCCCAAACAAGATGATCCCAAACAGGCCCATACCACGGCACATCATAATTGAAACAGCAAAGGTTAAAGATACAGATGAAATCCTAAAAGCAGCAAGAGGAAGACAACTAGTGACTTACAAGGAACCACCCATAAGACTATAAGCTAATTGCTCAAAACGAGCCTTGCAGGCCAGGAGGAAGTGGCAGGAAATATTCAAAGTGAAGAAAAGCAAGGACCTACAACCAAGATTACTCTACACAGCAAGGGTATTATTTAAAATAGAAAGAGAGATAAAGAGCTTCCCACAAAAGAAAAAGCTAAAGGAACTCATCACCAACAAGCAATTATTACAAGAAATGCATAGGAACTTCTTTTAAAAGAAGAAGGGGAAAACATAAATATGAATAAAATGGCAATAATTTTATACCTATCAATAATCACCTTTAATACAAATGAAGTATGCTCCAATCAAAAGACATAAGGTACCTGGATGCTTAAGAAAGCAAGACCCATACATGTGCTGTCTATAAGAGATCCACTTCAGATTGAAAGATAAAATAGTCTGAAAGTAAAGAGATTGAGAAAGATATTTCATGCAAATAGAAACAAATAAAAAGCTGTGGGAGCAATATTTATATCAAACAAAATAGACTTTAAAACAAAGACTATAATAGACAAAGAAGGACATTACATGTTGATAAAGGGATCACTCCAACAAGAGGACATAACCCTAGTAAACATTAATGCACCCAAGATAGGAGCTCCTAAATATATTAAGCAAATATTGACTGACATAAAAGGAGAGATTGACAGTAATATTATAATAGGGTGCTTTAAGACCCATGAACACCATCAATGGGTGAATGAATAAACAAATTGTGGTATTAACAAACAATGGAATACTAATAAATAATAAGGAACAACTGATACAAGCAGCAGCATCAGTGTATCACAACAGCATAATGCTTAGTGAAATAATCCAGATAAAAATATAATATTATAAAAATATTATAAAATTCCATTTATAAGAACATCACTAATTATCAGGTATTGAAAATCAAAACCACAAGGGTATCACCTCACACTTATTAGATCAGCTATTATTAAAAAGATAAAAGAAACAAGTGTTGGCAAGGATGCAAAGAAATAAAAACTCTTGAATATTGGTGGTGGGAATGTTAAATGGTACAGCCATAATGGAAAATAGTATTTCATTTCAATAATGAAATATAGAAATACCATATTATCCAACAATTTCACTTTGGGTATATATCCAAAAGGAATTGAAATCAGGATCTTGAAGGGACATCTGTGCTCTCATGTTTACTGAAGCATTATTCAAAACAGTCAAGATATGAAAACTATCCAAGCATCCATCAACAGATGAATGTATAAAGAAAAAGTGATGGTGTCCATGGATCTTAAAGGATCCTATTGTGGCTATATTACTCTCTCTCTCTCTGTCTCTCTGTCTCTGTCTCTCTGTCTCTCTCTCTCTCTCTCTCTCTCTCTCTCTCTCTCTCTCTATATATATATATATATATATATATATATATATATATATATATATATAAAATGTAAAGTAGTTGTATTGAAAATATTCAGAAATTTATTGCATTTTTACACATCAATAATTAACTATCAGGAAGAAAAATTAAGTAAACAATTCCATTTATAATTACATCAGAAAATAAATAAAATATCTAGGGATAAATTTAACCAAAGAGGTAATATTATTCAGCCTTAAAAAAGAAGGAAATATTGCCATTTGTAATAACATGGATAAACCCGGAGGGCATTACGTGAAGTGAAATAATCCAGAAACAATAAGACAAATATTGTATGATCTCACTTATATGTGGAATCTAAAAGACAAATTCAAAAAAGCAGAGAGTAGAATGGTGGTTGCCAAGGCTTGAGAGGAATATGAAAGGGGAGAGTTAGTTGCTAAAGGGTACAAAGTTTCAGTTATGTATGATAAATAAGTTCTGCAGATCTATTATACAGCATAGTGCTTATAGCTAATGATATCATATTTTACACTTGAAATTTGCTTAGAGGGTAGGTAATCTTATATTAAGTGTTCTTACAATAATAATAATAATAATAATAATAATAATAATAATGGAGGTGGAAGTAAACTTTGTGAGGTAATGGATGTGTTTATGACCTTGATGGAAATGATGATTTCACAGATATATATTTAACACCAAGCTCATAGAGTTGTAAACATTAAATATGTACAGCTTTTTATATGTCAATCTTACCCCAATGAAGTGGTTTTAAAACTGCTATAAAATGCAGACTATAATGACAGAAAACAGATCAGTATTTGCCATACGCTATGTAGCAGGAGGAAGGGGTGCATGCAAAGGGGTAGAGGATAACTTTGTAAGTTAATGAAAATGGACTATATAATGATTATGTGGTAGTTATATGACTTAATAATTTTCTTATAACTCATCAGTTAACACATAATACTTTTAACAAAGAGATAAAAATATACATATATTAAGGTTTGGGGAAATCATTAGTGGTAAGATATACTAGAAAATATATACTATCAATATATCAAAATATATAGCATCAATTGGCATAATTTATAAAAGTCTATATTTATATTTATATTTATATTTAGTGATTTGTTTAGGACAGTAAAATGATTTTTGTAAGGTTACAAAATAACACCCATGTAAAATATGTTCTCTGGATCATTCATAAAGAAATTATTGCATAAAAGTTTGAAGACATTAATTCACAAATAGCAACAAGATAACAGAGAAGAGGTTAATTTTGTAAAATTTATGATTATTATCATAAAGTATATTTTTTATTCTTTATAATAAAAATGTCTTCTCCAATCACCATAGAATGTAACTTGTAAAACTAATCACTCGGCATTTGAAATCTAGAATACAGATTTTTTTAACTGTTAAAAATCTTCTAATAAACATTTCAACTTGTTTTCTACCTCATTTGTAAACATTATTAAAAAATTACATCATCTGTTTATTAGTAAATGTAAAACACTGGGGTCCAAACCACTTCAGAATTCAGATTTTTTTTTTATTTCAGAAAGTTAGTATATGCTTATGTCATTAATTATGGATACCTCCCAGCAAGATTTGTGAGAGTTACCCAAAATTAAACACACTAAAAGTTTATGAATGTGAATCCTAAATTAATAAATAAAAATTATAAGTGGTTCCTGCTCAGGAGAAATTAGATTTAGTCACCAAATAAGCTATGAAAAAAAATTTTTTTTCAAAACTTTTTGTATTTCTAAAGTTTGGACAAGGTACTATGAAACTATGAAAGACAAATTTATCTATATTTGAAGTACAAAGCAAGACATTTTACTTTAAATATGTTGAATTATCATGACCTCCATACAAAGTGATTTCATGTTAGCGTGATATGACTGTAATTTTCTTTGTAAATCAGGAAAAATAGTCCATGTAGAAAATTAGCCTGAGAGTGCATTGCCTAAAAGAAGGATATTATCTATGTTCACTTCTTCATTATAATGTTTGTCTTAGCATGTTTTCATTTCTCACTACTTAATGTTGAAAAATATTTGCCTTGAATTTTTAGCTCTGCCAATTTACAGCATATTTTATAAAGAAAATATCTCTAAGATCAAATGCTTTCCATGGTGATTTTCACCATCATACATTTATGACCTTTTCAATATTCCATTTTTTGATTGAGTAGCCATTCAGTCCACTTCCTGAATGCTAGTGTAAACAAGGGGGAACCAGTTAATCAGAATATATGGTTTAAAGGTCACAAGGCATTTTTAATATATTACTTTATGCTAATTTAAAAATAATACATAAAAAGAAAATGCTAAAACCTATCTTGCTTTGCTACAAGAACAGCAAAAAATAGTAAGTAGTTCGACTGTGTGTAGGTGTGTGTGTATACTTCTCTGTGTATAGTTTACCTAAAACTGAATAGGAATATATGTTAAAAGCTATATCAATGATAAATCCAATAATACTGTATATAAAATAATTTTCAACATTAAAATAATTATTTAGAATGCATGAAGTAGATTTAAAAGTAGAGTAATATTAATTCATGCTGAATTATGTATTTCTCTTCATACACTGAGTACTTTTCAGGAAAAGAAAGAATCCTAGACTACTCGTGAATTTCAGTTTTAAAATGAATGTGTGAATGGAAAAGCCAAACTAGTAAATTTTTAAGCAACTCGATATTGCTAAAAAAAATTATGAAATAGGGCCAATGATCCAAAATGGAGGAATAGGTAAATGCTATGCTTGCCTCATCCTGTGAACACATCAAAATTACAACTCAATTATAGAACAATTAACCTAGAGAAGTATCTAAAGTCTAGCTGAACAGAAGTTTTATAACTAAAGATATAAAGAAATAGCCACATTGAGACTAGTAGGAAGGGTGGAGATGTGAAATGAGCTGACCCCAAACCTCTGTGTGGTGGACGAAAATTGCAGGGGGGGGCAGTTCAGTCACAGAGTTTCCCCCCAGAGGAGCAAGGGTCCCCAGGCTCCCCAGCCCGGAGTGCTGGTGAGACATGAGGAGCCTACACAAGATCTGGCTGTGAAAATCAGTGGAATTCCAATTGTTCGGGTGGTATGTGAGACTGCAGGAAATCCAGCCATCCTCTTAAAGGAACTGCACACAAATTCAATCTCTTGCAGGAACTCACCTTGGGTGCTAGTGGAGGGACAGTGACTCAGGGGCGTCAGAGGCATTAGGGGAGCAGATTGATGTCTGTAGCTTTGGTGAAGGGCTTGAAGATAGTTGCTGTTTCCCCTGTGTGGGGCTGTCCTCTGAAGCAGCTGTCGGGACTTTCCTGTGTTGAGCCCGCCCCTTACGCTTTCAGCCAAATCTGAATCTGATTGGCCTGGTGAGCTCTGCTGCTCCAAAATGCTGACTCACTGAGCCCCCACCTCACCCAACTCAGTACCACACAGGCTTTATCAGCAGCTGAACCTTATGGAGCCAGCAGGTGTTAGCAGTCCATGGGGTGCCCTGGCTTTTTTCAGAGCTATCCCAGACCAGGTACTGGTGGCAGCTATCCTTGTTTCACAATGTGATCTCTCCCACATGCTTCCAAGTTCAACACAGGCAGAGACCAAACATGGATAGCTTTGTAGTTCCTACCAGGTAGTCCTCAGCCAGTCACAGGCAGTGGCTGACATCAGCCTGCATCAGAGCCCCTCTCAACAGGCCCCAGAATAAACATACTTGGAGGTTGGCTTCAGACCACAGCAGAGCACTGCCCAATTAGCCCCACAAGCAGCATACACAAAGAGTGGTCTCAACAGGCACCAGAGACTGCTGGGGCAAATACCACTCAGTGGGGTAAGCCTTCTGCACAGCAGTCCGTAAACTGTGGGTGTGGCCAAACACCTATTTGAAAAAATAATGACTGAAAACTTTCCTAACCTGGTGACTGAAATAGATATACAAGCCCAGGAAGCACAGAGTTTCAAACAAGATGAACACAAAAAAGGTCCACACCAAGACATGTTATAATTAAAATAGCAATGGTTAAAGACAAAGAGAGATTTCTAAAAGCAGCAATAGAAAGGTCCCTCATAACTTATAAGAAAGCTACCATAAGATTGTCAGCTGATTTCTCAACAGACACTTTGCAGGCCAGAAAGGATTGGCATTAAATACTCAAAGTGATGAAAAGCAAGGACCTACAACCAAGATTACTCTAACCAGCAAGGCTATCATTTAAAATAGGACAGACAAAGAGCTTCCAGACAAGAAAAAGCTAAACAAGTTCATCACCACTAACCCAGTATTACAAGGAATGTTAGAAGAACTTCTTTAAGGCAAAAAAATAAAACATATGAATAATAAAACAGTGATAACTACATACCTATTCACAATTACTTTCAATGAAAATGGATGAAATGCTCTGATCAGAAACATAGAGTGACTAAGGATAAGAAAACAAAACCTTTACATATGCTGCCTCCAAGAGACTCATGTCAGATCAAAAGACACACACAGACTGAAAGTAAAGGGACCAAAAAAGACATTTCATGAACATGGAAACAAAAACAAACTAAAAAGCTGAAGTAGCAATACTTACACCGGACAAAATACTCATAGACTTTAAAACAAAAGTTATAACAAGAGACAAGGAAGGACCCAGTAGTCCCATTTCTGGGTATTTATCTGAGGAAACCCAAAACATTATTTCTAGGTGACATGTGCATCCATATGTTCATTGCAGCATTGTTTACAATGGCCAATATATGAAGGCAACCTGGGTGTCTGTTGATGGATGAATGGATAAAGAGGAAGTGGTACATATATACAATGGAATATTGCTTGGCCACAGAAGGGGATGGGTTCTTGCCATCTGCGGTGGCATGGATGGACCTGGAAGGTATTGTGCTGAGTGGAGTATGTCAGAAAAAGAAAGACAGATGCGATGTGATTTCACTTATATGTGGAATCTAAAGAACAAAAACAAAGAAACAAACAAAACAGAAACACACTCATAGATACAGAGAACATTTTGATGATTGCCAGATGGGAGGGTGGACTGGAGGTATAGGTGAAAAAAGGGGAAGGAATTAAGAAGTACAAATTGGTTGTTGCAAAGTTCATGGGATATAGGGTAGCACATAAGGAATATAGTCAATAATATTGTAATAACTATGCATGGTGTAAGATGGATACAAAATGTTCAGATTGATAGATGGGAGGCAGTTGGGGGACAGGGTGAAAAAGGTGAAGGAATTAAGAAATACAAATTGGTAGGCACAAAATAGTCATGGGGATGTAAAGCAAAGCAAAGGGAATATAGTCAATAATATGGTAATAAGTATGTATAGTGCCTGATGAGTACTGAACTCATCAGAGAGATCGCTTCTTAAATTATACAAATGTCTAAGTACTATGTTGTACACTTGAAATTAGTAGAAAATAATATTGAATGTTAACTGTAATTGAAAAAGTTGAAGAGGAATAAGAGGTTTTAATTTCCAGGTATAAAACAAATAAATCACGGAGATGTAATATGCATCATAAGGAATATAGTCAATAATATTGTCATAGTGTGGTACTGTGTCAGATGGTTGCTGGACTTATGGCGATCACTTCAAGTATATAAATGTTGAACAACTATGGTGTACACCTGAAACAGATACAATGTTGTATGTTTGGTATATTTTTATTTTTATTTATTTATTTATTTATTTTTAAAGATTTTTATTGGGGAATTGGGGGATGGGAACAGTGCTGGGGAATTGGGGGAAAGGGAACAGACAAGTTGCTGTCATTTTTGTTCTTCAGTCTAGTTGTGGAGGACGTTTCTTCACTGGCCCAAATTGGCACCATCATTGCGCTCTTCCCAGGCGAGGCACATCAGTCGCTATGTAGCATCTGTAATGCTTCTGGATGGCTGCTCACTGTGGCCGCTGGCCACTCACGCTGGCTGCTGGCTACATACGGTAGCCCATGGCAACCCACTGCCACAGGGGCTGCAGCCTACACCATCACTGGTGACTCACAGCAACCCAGCTCCAGGTTGAGCTGCTGTTCAGCATCTTAGCTGTAGAGGGCAGTGTCACTGGCCCTCATATGTGGGATCCGAACCGTGCCCTCTGGCGTCCCAAGCCAGTTCTTAACCATCGCACCACTCGGCCGGCCCTGTTAGCTATATTTTCAAATAAAAATCTTTAAGAATTAAAAAATAGGGTTGATGATAAAAAATTAAACAGATATTACATATTGTACCTAGTATATATTTGTAGCATCTGTAATGCATTTTGAGGATTGAATTACAGTCATGGGGAAAATTATCCATGAGATTCAATGATTTTGAAAGCTCTGAAAGTTTCTTGAAAAATATGGCATGGCAGACCAAATCAACTATCTGAAGACTAGCTAATTATTGACAGGTTCTAGTGTTAGAATTAAAAAATAGCTTCAAAATATAAACTGCTTCCATAGGCTTTTATTTCATAATAGTATAGACTGCATTATTAACATTCCTCCAAGTACATGTTAATTTATAGATGATGTGATATTCCATATTCTCCATACCTAAGTTCATACTGAATCCACATTACAGTCAAGAAAATTAAAATATATCACAAAGGGAAAAATATTAGCAGTATTACATTTTTTAGAAAAAAAGTCGTGTAGTTATAATGATCTCTTTATTATCATTTTGCTATATATAAATTGTTCATGCTTTGGATATTTAAATTATTCCAATATTTCATGTGTTTACAAAGGGTTATTTGAATATTTATGCATTCATTATGCATCTATTGTTTTCCTTCAGGAATTTTAGAGTGTAATAAAACTGTCACAGAATTTTCAGCTGAAATGAATAAATAAGTGGCTGCGTGGGTGCTTTTTCATTCTATAAATAAGTTAAGAACATTATATATATATATTTTTTTTTTAACTGAGCCATCCTGCCACCTGTTGGCAGCTCAGCTCGGACTGGGAATCGAACCACTGTTGCTCTTAACCAACTGAGCCCCTCGGCTGGCCCTAGAACATTATATTTTTAAAAAATTTATCTTCACCCACAAAATAAACTAATATTAATTGTGATCTTAATATTATAAGTTTATCAACTTTGCTTTGCCAAACTCATCAAGGCCTGTTTATTTAGAATCTCTGAACTGTATGTTTGCAATTTGTCTTATGTAAAATAAAAAACAAATGGGTAAATTAACCCCTAAAGATTTTCTTTCTGCTAAAATGACAATTGCAAAATTAAGATGTGAGATATGAAAGTAAATACTATACTTCCCTTGTTCTTCACAACTTAAATATATCCAAATATAGTATAATCAACTGAGAAGCACTTTTGGAATGGAAGACTAAAAACTGAAAATCAATTTTTCCACAAAAGCAAAAACACTGGGAAAATTTGTCAACATTAGCCTAGTTAGAACTCTGGAAATTTACCAAAGGCTTGAAACAATCCCAAAGTGATTTAACTACAAAAACAAAACAAAACAGAACAAACCAAACCAAACCAAACCAAAACAAAACAAAAACTACTTCTTCTCAGAACAGTGAGCTTGGCGGCATGCCCTATCTCCTATCCTTTCTGTCTCTAGATACATAGTGCCCTATACACCAGCAGTTTGGTATGCACGTGAAGGGGAGGTGATTTGGAGCTCTCCAAAAGCTCTATATCCCGAGTATTGTCATTCTCTGACTTGTCTTTAAGCTCCGTGGAAGAGCTCCATTGACTGTGCTTATCATTACTGATCTGACAGAAAAGACCTAACCTAGCCTCAGAGCATTTAGCAAAAACAATTAGTGGCAGATGCTTACCATTGCAGCTGCCTAAGGAGGCAATATCAAATGGTACAAACAAGAGGCTAAAAAAACTTTTTTTTTTAAAATGAGGGGTGAGATATCCACAGGGTCCTGAAACAGTCCTAACATATTCTTAAGATTCTAGAAGAGTCACTATAGCCACTCTATCAACATAAAGGTTTTTACTACCCTTTTAACTAGAGGCGAAAGTCAAACTATTTTGACTTTAATGTTCTTATTAAGTAATGGGTAATGAAAGGAAGCCTTAGTAATAATAATTGAACTAAATGCTCGCAATTATAAAGTGAATTTCTTGAGAAATTACTACTAAATGAAATAAAAATCAACTAAGAGATGTAGGAAGTTATTCATTGGTTTTATTATTTCAACCTTTAGTACTTTTGCAGACTCTCCAGTATTTAACAGTTTTCTCCAACATCAAAAATCTGAAAACTGTAATAAGAAAATATAGGGGAAAACCTTCATGACTTTGTCCATGACAATGATCTCATGGACC